TGGGCTTTCGTGTGTGTGTCTTACTCTTCTTCGTTGTTATTGCTGTTGTTGACGTTAAACAAAATTCCTGGTCCGGCTCTCTCAGCGGCTCTGAAACAAAGAAAACAATCAGACGGCAGGACAAGTTAACTGTTCACTGCAACTCTTTTAGTGGACCAACTCAAGGATGCTGGAACAACCTCAGTGACCTTTGCCACCTTCACGGAACAACAGAACTTTCTCAAGAATCACAAGAACTTCCTGATTAACCACATAACCTTGTCAATGACCCCTCAAACCTTCTCAAAGACTCTTGTAAAAGCTAATTAAATGGGCAACCATTGGTTTGTTCACAGTGTTCTTGGCCTGATGTTTTCCTGTTCAAGGACCCCTTGACCGTCTATCAGAATTTCTTCCAGAAGCCCCCGATATTTTGAAGTACCTACAATCCAGAGGACTGCCTGACAAAACCATTACATTTCCTCAAGGGAAAAATCACAGCTAGAACCTCCTCAAGGACCCATATAACTCCCCTTAGATTCTCTAAAAGAAACCCAGAATCCACAGAACCCCATAAACCTCTTAAACCTCCTCAAGGACGCCTGAAACCCCATGATGAACCCATCTAACCTTTTCAAGGACCCATATAACTTCCTTATGGAGCCATGTATCCGTTAAAGGACCCCTATAATCCACAGAACCACCCCATGAACCTCTTAAACTCCCTCAAGCATGCTTGAAACCTCACAATGAACCTCTAGAACCTCTGCAGGACCCACAGAACTTCCTTCAGGCTTCTTTAATTCTCCGGGCTGAATACAAAAGTCCCACAGGCTACTGAAATCATTTCCATTGCAAATTTTAGCCTGTGAGTCTTGTTTCCATGAGAACGCACCTGTGCCCCTGCAGGACTTCACCTGGCTGCTCCTCCATGTCTTGTAGGACGATGGTGGGCGGAGATAACCTGGTGATGGGGGGCGGGACTGATGGACCTACTTTGGCCATGGAGGTACTCGTTCCTCTGACTTTCTGCTGGCAGAGAGAGATTATTATAGGGATGGCAGGAGAGAGGTGACAGGAAATGAGGGCAAAGAGAAAACAACATGCAACAACAACATGCAACAAAGGTCTCAAGCTGGACGATTGAGGATGTTGGGATTTACGGTCAGCTCCTTTAGTCCTCAAGGCACCAGGACGCCGCAGCTTGCTCTTTGTTTTACAGGAGAGTTTCCTCACTTGGGGTGTTTGTTCAAACACTGTGAAGTTGTCTCTTAGCAGCAACACAGGACGTGGTGTGACGTGGTACCGGTAGTCTTAAGAGTTTTGTATGTTTGAAAAAGCTTGTTGCTACGACGTGAAGTCTGACCACATGTGAAGTGTTTCTGCCTGTTCTGAATGACAACAAATAGTCTCTCCTGGAAGACATGTTTGTCCACATCACAGGAATTGTTGTAAAGAGAGCTGAGACAGAAGTTCAAACCCCTCCCACACAGCTGGCCAATCACTGCTAAAAGTGTGACTGATTGTCCGGTTGTCTGATGAAGCGACCTGAGGCGTTGGTAGTGAGGAGGTCAGGTCTGGTTCAAGACCATCGTAATCTTGTCTGCCATCCTTCTCTTAACTTTATAGAGAGCTTAAGTCACCCACTTCTGCTCCCGGCCCATGGGACCTTATTTCGGAAAAAATATGTACGGTAGTCAATGGCGAGAGACCAATAATTTTTTGATCCTGTTTGAACTGAGCCCTGAATTAAACACATGATGTTTGTCAATTAAAAAGATAATTTTTTCCGTTTGCAGTTTGTCATAAATCAGTAAAGTTACATGTCATTTTTTATGAAAACCAACTCTCTGCACTTTTATCACATCATCCTCTCATGTAAGCTCTTTGATGTTAGCTTCAGTCACTGATCACATACATCACATACACGACTTTTGGTTTGTGGTGTTTGTAATTATGTATTTTCACAGTCTTTTACTTAAACAGTTTTACATCAAACTGTGTCTTTCTTGACTTTTAAATGTATATTTTAAATTGACCATCATCAGATAAAAATAAAGAAAATTAGTTGTCTCTTGCCATTGACTACCGTACATGTATGAATATGCATCTATGCTACAAACGCATTATGATCTTACATAATATGATGCATTGCTGCAGATTAAAATACCCAACAGGATATTAAGGAGTTAAAATGAGCTCAACCTTAAACATCTACAGCAGTAACATGCAAACCTGCACATGAATAAATCCAGAAACTTCAGGTACTGACAGGTACATTTTCCTGCAACATGACTACTTTTACTTCTACTATTTTGCAGCAAGGTTTTGAATGCAGGAGTATCTTCACAGTTTAGTATTAATACTTTTCCTGACGTAAAGGATCCTCTGACAAACATCTACATGAGTGTGAGACAGAAAACAAAGTGTCCTCTTTGCAGCACACGCTTCACACTTTAATATTGTCAGTTTTCTATGTTTGAGACACGTCTGTGATTATTTTATCATATCTTGTATAATATTTACATCTCTGCCCTCACACCATTATCTCCTTACTCACCTGTCAGCTGATAATCTGTCGCCCTTGGCTACGTGGCCTAGATCCACCGACCGCCCATCAAACTCATCGCCATGGAAACAGATGAGTATCCCCCCCTACACACACACATACATACATAAACACACACACATACACACACACACACACGCACAAACACACACTTGGCCCTTTTAACAAGAAAGAAAATAGGAGACAATGGAGGGAAGGGAGCGGTGAAGGAGCGTTTGGAGGATCCAGCAGAGGAGTCTCTTCTGTCACCCTGACGAGGATAAAGAGATTAGAGGAGGGATGATACTGTTTGTCTCGCGTACACCTGCACTCTATGCACCCGCATGTACAATTCACCTGAGAAAAAGTGAGCGTCTCGTGTGAAAACGTACATTTCACCTGCAGAGTTTGTTTGTAAAACATTAGTGGGGGAAGGGAAGGGTGGAAATATCATTTTACCATTTTAAATAATCTCTTATAAATTAAATTTTAACAATATCTGTTCATGGGATTGTGGAAGAATCATTCTGTTTTCTGTCAAAAAACATGTTCAAGGATAAAGAATGAAAAATAAATCTGCGTCACCTCATCTCAGCTGAAGGTTTTGTGTAACTGCTCAACAGGCCTGGTCAGACCAAACTAGGGGCACAGACATATTTCCTCACTTTAACTCGTCCAAAACCAACTCGACACCGTGTTCAGTGATGAGAGCGAGGCGGGAGGTTATCTGAACATCAGCTGCAGAATGTTTTTTCCGTTTCTCCTGTAAATCCAGAGGTTTTTTATTTAGTCTAAACAGAATCTCACAGAGCAGAAACTGACTCCCCATCATCAACCTGTGGAGGTAAGGAGATAAAAACAAACGCTGGGCAAAGTGCTGACAGGATCTGAAACATGACGCATCATTAATTACATGTAGGGAGTGAGGTTTTTGTCTTTTCAGTTGTTCAGTTGTTCAGATGAGTCAGCAGCAGCTGAGCTTGTGGATCAGACTGCAGTTTGTCCTGCTGTGATAATATTTACACACAAACTTCACATCTTGAGTTTATTCTTCCAATCATTAATGAGCGTTTGCATGTATTGTGGCAGCCACTCTACTAAAGTACGTTCCCACGCCCACAAAGATAAGAAACCTGAAGACTAGAACTTTTTATTAAACAGACAATAATATGATGAAGACTTTCATCAAGACTTTCAGAGAGGGGATGAAAGAGAAATCTGAGGAGCGAAGGAGTGAAGAATATACGAGAATAAGGAATAAAAGGAGGCAGGAAAGCACAGAGTTAAGATGAAAAGCGAGGGAAAACAAGGAAGCCACAGCGAACAAAGGAAGAACTGATATTAGCAAGAAAGCAGGAAGAAAAGATGAAAGATATAGATAACCATGAGAAATAAAGGAAAAGTGACGGAGGAGACGAGAGGGCAGAGAGGGGTAAACTAGCAAACGGGGGGAAATGGGAGGAGGAAAGATAGGCCTATTCCTGAGAGGGAGGAGGCGATGAAAAGTGAGGAGGGGTGGATTAGCAGCGGGCGTGCTTCAGTTCCTCTGATCCTCCTGAGTCAGCATAGTAACCCTAATAACACACACACAGGAACACACCAACTGAAGCTGCAGTGTTTAACAGGCAGCTTTGTTAGGCTTATTAGGATTTAATCTGTGTGTGTGTGTGTGTGTGCGCCGTGATCCAGTCGATCAGTAGTAGCAGACATTATTACCTTTAGTGATTCATGTCATTTAGCCAGACTCCAGAGTCCACATCACACGTCAGCTCTGTGACATGCTAACATGCTGATGTTTTGCAGGCACACATTGTTTTGGCTTAATCGCCTCGACCATAAGTGTATGCCTGTGGATTATTCTTACAGCGTTAGTAGTAAGTAGTAGTAGTAATCAGTAACTATTGATACCATGTTAGGTTGCAAAGTGTTCAATTTGTTGTGTTCAATGTTGCTACGATGTTCCTCTACTGGAGACTTTAGGATATTTGCATCACATTTTGCCAGTGTTCATGTTATTGTGTCCACCTTCTGAAACTGTCCTGCAAAAATCAGACTTTAAATGGAAAAGAAATAATGATTTGACATATATTGTGATTTATCGTTATCGATATCGAACAATATAAAATGTTTTAATCATGGTAACATTTTTTGCCTTTTTGCCCAGCCCTATCTAAATTTATAATAAATGCTTTATAACGGACGGTAATGTATGAATGTTAACGACTAGATTTCCTTCTGCAGCAATAAGTGGAAGCTGCAGGTTATGACAAACAATTACCATTAAGAAACACTTAAAAGATCTTTATAACTGCAGGATAATGTGTGATAAAACTTGTATTCAGAGCCCATTTGCTGCTTATTAATGCTAAACTGGAGGAGGAGCAACAGTTCAGTCTTCTTGGAAATCCCACACCTGCAGGTAGCCAGTTAAAACCAGTGCAGAGGTTTTTGGGCTGGTCCAGAGTCAGTTAAAGGCAACACCTGAACACCAGGAAGAACAACTCAGTCTGGTTTCAGCAGCTGCTCGGTTCGGTCATGGCTGCGTTAACATTTGTGGTTTTGTTCTCATTTTCATGGATCTTTGTTCTGGCCAAAAAAGGTAAGGGGTGCATCAACAGAATTGTTTTCTTTTTAAAGAAACAGTGATCAGCGGATCAGCAGGTAGACGATTGATTAATTACCTTTGATTATGTTGAATTATGGATTTATTCTTTTGTTGAATGATGAGAGAAATGTGTAAAACTCCCTGTATCCTTAATTACTTGTGATAAGTCATTGTTATAATTACTGTTGTTGTAACTTATTAACAAAATATGAATTATGTTATTGATTAAAATGTTTAAAGTTTAAAGGTTAAAGTTTATTATGTATTCTAATTATAATAATAGAGACCTGATCTCTGCTGCTTCCATCAAAAGATGTTTGAACAACAGGAAACATTACAAGTCCTGACTGGAGGCTTTTCTCTTTCTGTTCAGAGACACAGGAGGTGACAGTGAAGCCTGGAGAGGACGCCACTCTTGAGTGTTTAGTGGCTCCCACGATGGATACAACTGGATGGGTATATTGGGTACATTGGGATAGACTTGGCCAGAAGGACAACTTTGTCTTTGTTCGCTATAGAAACATCTCATATGTAGAGGAAATGCTTCCACGTTATCGTGGTGCAGTGGAGATGAAAGATCCAGAGCTGAAGGATGGAGACGCTACTGTGATTCTGAGGAACGTCGACATTTCTGACGCTGGAACATATGAGTGTCGGGTTTTATTACTACCTAAGGTCTTGTGTAGGAGATTCAAACCCGATCTCATCAGCACTATCAGGCTGACAGTGACAGAACGAGGTAAGTGTAGAGCTCAGAGTGTCTCTTTGTCTCTCAGGTGAGCGTGTAGAGCTCAGAGTGTCTCTTTGTCTCTCAGGTGAGCGTGTAGAGCTCAGAGTGTCTCTTTGTCTCTCAGGTGAGTGTGTAGAGCTCAGAGTGTCTCTTTGTCTCTCAGGTGAGTGTGTAGAGCTCAGAGTGTCTCTTTGTCTCTCAGGTCAGCGTGTAGAGCTCAGAGTGTCTCTTTGTCTCTCAGGTGAGCGTGTAGAGCTCAGAGTGTCTCTTTGTCTCTCAGGTGAGCGTGTAGAGCTCAGAGTGTCTCTTTGTCTCTCAGGTCAGCGTGTAGAGCTCAGAGTGTCTCTTTGTCTCTCAGGTCAGTGTGTAGAGCTCAGAGTGTCTCTTTGTCTCTCAGGTGAGCGTGTAGAGCTCAGAGTGTCTCTTTGTCTCTCAGGTGAGCGTGTAGAGCTCAGAGTGTCTCTTTGTCTCTCAGGTGAGTGTGTAGAGCTCAGAGTGTCTCTTTGTCTCTCAGGTGAGCGTGTAGAGCTCAGACTGTCTCTTTGTCTCTCAGGTGAGCGTGTAGAGCTCAGAGTGTCTCTTTGTCTCTCAGGTCAGCGTGTAGAGCTTAGAGTGTCTCTTTGTCTCTCAGGTCAGCGTGTAGAGCTCAGAGTGTCTCTTTGTCTCTCAGGTCAGCGTGTAGAGCTCAGAGTGTCTCTTTGTCTCTCAGGTCAGCGTGTAGAGCTCAGAGTGTCTCTTTGTCTCTCAGGTCAGCGTGTAGAGCTCAGAGTGTCTCTTTGTCTCTCAGGTGAGTGTGTAGAGCTCAGAGTGTCTCTTTGTCTCTCAGGTGAGCGTGTAGAGCTCAGAGTGTCTCTTTGTCTCTCAGGTGAGCGTGTAGAGCTCAGAGTGTCTCTTTGTCTCTCAGGTCAGCGTGTAGAGCTCAGAGTGTCTCTTGTCTCTCAGGTCAGCGTGTAGAGCTCAGAGTGTCTCTTTGTCTCTCAGGTGAAGCTGCTTCCTGGTAGTTGAGCTGAGAAACATCACAGATCAGATGTTTGTGTTTTAGAAAGATGTTGCTGAAGAGACTTTAGAGGAAACAGCTGCTACGAGTCATGTGATCAAAGTGCAGTAGATAATGTCTGACATTCTGTTCACCTGCTGACAGCTGATACCTCACACCTGTTTCTGCTCTGCAGGTCACACAGCTGGACACAAGGAGGGAGGAGACAAGAAGGGAGGAGACAAGAAGGGAGGAGACAAGGAGGGAGTAAACACTGATGGCGGAGACAAGAAAGGAGGAGACAAAAAGGGAGGAGACAAAGAGCCAGTAAACACTCATGGCGGAGACCAGAAAGGAGGAAATAAAGAGGAAGGAGACAAGCAGGGAGGTGACCAGGAGGGGGGAGACAAGGAAGGAGGAGACAAGGAGGGAGTAAACACTGATGGCGGAGACAAGAAAGGAGGAAATAAAGAGGAAGGAGATAAGCAGGGAGGTGACCAGGAGGGGGGAGACAAGGAAGGAGGAGACAAGGAGGGAGTAAACACTGATGGCGGAGACATGAAAGGAGGAAATAAAGAGGAAGGAGACAAGCAGGGAGGCGACCAGGAGGGGGGAGACAAGGAAGGAGATGGAATAGATGGAGGAAACAAGGATGTAAGAAAAGCAGAAGGAAACAGGAGTTTCCTTCATAGCAGAGAAAATGTCGGACTAGTCGTTGATCTGTTACTTGGCGCACTTCTTGTTGCTGTTGTTGTTGTTGCTGTCGTTGTTTTTCGTTTCATAATCTGTAGAAAATATAAAGTCCTCACAGAGATTAATTCATACTGACCTGCTGCTGATACAGAAACCGACCATCTGCAGGTGAAAGGTCTCAGATCTCAAAAAAGACAAATCAAACCGAACAACAAGTCACAGGCGAATATCTTATAGTCCACAGGTGAAAACAAAATATATAAATAACATGTGATCAGCTCTATTAATATGATATGATATATTTCAGCATGAGCAGATATCGCAGGAAAAGAAAGCACATCATCATTTAAGGTAACTGATTATAACTCAAACAGAGTTTGAGTTATAATCTGAGCTTCGTGGTGGTCTCACGCCCCCTTTACACCTGGTATTAAAATGCGATCTGACACAGATCAAATTTTACCAACTGAGATAAATAAATCCCTGGTAGAACTGCTTTTGTATTCATAAAGAAATGTCTGCTGATGAAATAAAGTCAAATTGTAGTGCGTCTGTTAGCAGAGGAGGTGAGAGCCCAAATGCAAAACACCGAGAGCAGACTCAGTTCAGGGTATTTAAACCAAATGAGAACAGGTAACAGGCTTACACGCAATTGACTGGAAAGTTACTGGGGGAACAGACACAAGCAAACAGATCACAAGTAAACTACCACCAACAAGGAACACAGACAGAACTAAGAGCAGACCTGGGTAAAACAACAACCTACACAGTCCAGGAGTAACACTAAGACATGAAAATAAATTAATGGATGAATGAAACCAAAAGCCCGAGAAATCAAAATCAAAACACAGGGTAAACAAGACATGGCTGACAGGCATGGGTAAGGGTATACCACGGCCTGTCATGAGCTATTGCTTAATTATAGAGATGGCTTTTCACAGGACTTTCAAAATCCCAGAAAATTCTGGAATCATTTGAACCATATACTCAGTAAAAATAACAAAAACTCAAATCAAATTGATAATGCCATTTTTGATCCTTCGCTTATTTCCAGTACTTTCAATCAGCATTTTTCTTAGTAGTTCAAAAATCGTAGACTCCAATGATACAGCTAGTTCTTCCAGCATGATCTTCTCTACTGGTGCATTCTGTTTTAGATCAGTCATGCCTATTGATGTTTTTCATGTCATTCATCCATCCATTGTCAACCGCTTATCCTGTGTACAGGGTCGTGGGGGGGCTGGAGTCCATCCCAGCTGACATTGGGCGAAAGGCGGGGTACACCCTGGACAGGTCGCCAGTCCATCGCAGGTTTTTCATGTCATTTGTGGGTTAAAAGAAAATAGCAGTGCAGGTCCTGACGGTCTTGAAGAAAGATTCATTAAGTGTTCATTCATTCAGATTATTTACTGCTTGAGAAGAGAGTCCCCCGAGGATCCACTTGGGGACCCCTCCTTTTTTCTATCGTCAATGATTTCTCCAAAATCTGTAAAAAATTGCTCAGTGCATCTGTATGCTGACGATACAGTTATTTACGCCTCGGACTCAGAGATAAATAAAAATACAAGACTCCTTACAAGCGGATTTCAATTTGGTTCAAAACTGGCTTCACATGAATAAATTGGTAATAAATAAAAACAAGTCTGTAATGTGCTGTTCAGAACAAGGAGCAATCGTCTTAGTACTTTACACATGTATATTAACTTTGAATATGGGTCTCTTGTGGATGAAGAGGATCAATTTACATATCTTGGTTTTTGGATTGACCCTGGACTCAGTTTCAAATTACATATGGGCTACCTTATAAATAAATCTATGGCTGTTTAAGTTCTCTTTACCTATCAATACACTGTTTTACATTTCAAGCCAGGAAAATTATTTTTTCTCAGATGGTACTGCTGATTATTGATTATCTTGGTATTATCTATATGAACATCACTGACACCAATCTTAGGCCTCTTAATGTTGTTTTTAATTGTCTTTGTAGATTTGTCTTGAGGTGTTCATTTAACAACAAGCGTCACATCACTGCTCTAAGTATGAGACGCTTAACTGTTTACAGCCTAAAGCAAGAGGGGAATTTCAATGGATAAAGTTTATTTTAAAATGTGGTTATTTTTGCTGTCCTCCACACTTGAAACAATTTTTAGTTTCTTGTAGAGTTCCATATCCACTCATATAACAACATAATTTGATTTGCTTTTGGGTTGAATGATAGTTGATTTTCATTTGTTATAATTGAAGTTATGGGATTGTTTTAACTTGTTACTTTTCCTTGGATTAACTGAGGGTGTTGGTGTGGTTGGTGTGGGTAAGAGTGGGTGTGCGAGTTATATATGTGTATGTGTATTGTATGTAGTTTCGTAATGTTTTGTAGTTGTTCATTATATATTTGTGTTATAGGACGCCCTTGAAAATGAGATGCTGCATCTCAAGGGGCTATCCTTCAATAAATTCAATTAAATTTTGTGTGAATTGATGCTGCATGCAGGCAGTTTCCTTGACCATGATACATGCTCCATTATATCAGACTGCTCTTTATGTTTCTTTGTTCAGGTGATATTTTAGATTTTGGGTGATGGTTTCTGTTTGTTTCTGTTGTAAAGCTCTTTATTGTTCTGCTTTCAGATGCCTCTATTTAATGTCTCTTTGTTTTTAATTCGGTCCCTGATAATAATGTAGATGGTGAATGGTCTGTGTTTAATTTGTATTTCTGGAACAGCTCATCTTAAAGCTGTACAACAATAATAATAATAATACAATAAACTGCAGCTGAGCTGTTGACTCATGTCTGATTTCACCTGGAGCCCCCCTCCCTGCACAACAATTCACATCTTCAAAAAACATCTTTACTCCATAGAAAGTAAAGGTCCTGCATTCGAAATGTAACTTAGCTACAATTACAGAAGTGTTTAAAGTACTTTAACATGTTAACATGTGAGAAGTGTTTCAGCTGGTGTAGCTGGTGGAGAATGTTGGAGGTTTAATCTATAACATGCATCATGTTCAGGTAACATGTTAATCTGCAGAGTAACCTGGAACTACAGCTGTCAGATAAATGTGGTACAGTAGAAGTAAAAATTAGCCAGAAATTGAAATACTGAAGTAAAGTACAAGTACCTTAAGATTCTATTTAAGTACATGACGCAATGTAATTGTGTAATTTTGCACCAGAAACAATGTGAGCTGTTGAACATGTTGATGCAGGTCTGATCTCAACACAACTCAACTGAGCCGAAACCCGCCCAGGTAACAAACACCCAGAGCCTCAGAAAGGGGTTCATTATTTATTCTTCTCCTCAGACGGTTCATCACTGGACCTGACAGTCTGCCTCGTCACTCTTTATATCCAGTATAAACTAGGCTTCAAATCTGAGGATTAAAGGCATTAATCAGAAAAAAAACTTGATACTTGGTACTGTCTGTACCTGTAACTCTGAAAGTGAGACACAATGGGTGAGACCACAAAACGTGTCTTCAATCTGACACCAAGTAATACCAGTGCCAGATAACCCATACAGAAAACAAAACAAACACCTTCTTCTAACAGTCGGCCTGCACAGGTGAAGCACAGGTAGATGTAATCATTCTCTACAGCCATCAGAGGGAGCATTCACATCCACAAAAGAGACATCAAAATGGTACCTGTAAAGTCGGAAATTTCAAAGGGCCCACAAACGCCCACTTAAGTCGAATGTCCGAAAGTCGGGAGAACCCCACTATCCCAACTTTGTGATCCAAGATGGCTGCTCTGAGTATCAACAGTTAGTGAAAGCTGTAGTTTTTACTGTTTATTAGCACTTCTGTCTCATAGAAATGTTCGTACAAAAGGTGCTGTCCAACTGCTGTCTGTGGACGTGTTGAGAAACTACCACACAAAGTTTTTTTTTTTAATCAACTGCGTAACAATAGCTAACCTGGCTAGTTGTAAACAACAGCTGGCCAAGCGAGGTTTTCCAACTTGTAACTGGAACCCCGTCAACTCGGGTGTGACGTCATTCCCAGGTCCGACCTCTGACGTCCGAGGAAAATGGAACGCACCAAAAGACTCAGGGCATCCAGTGACTTGACACCAGATTGTTCCTCCCCTTACGTGGTTGAGTACTGCAGTCCAGCTCTAGTTCCTAGTGTTTCTTCAGTTGTTTGCTACTTGTCACTTGTGTAACCTCTGCTGTTTGTCTGCTTCTTTCAAGATCCCCGCGTCAAGTCAGTGTCCCGGTTTACCCTGGATTGTCTATCGCAGTGCTGGAACTTTGGACCCGGTCTACCCCGACCTTTGTGTCCCATTCTCACGCAAAGCAAACCCTTAGCCTTTGCCTTTGTTGCCTCTAGTTGTGAACAAACCGCACCGGAGTCCACCACAAACTAAGACCTAACACTACTACTACAAGGGAACTACTCTGGTGCCTGATTAGAGTGTTGAGCTGCAGTGAATTATTTTAACCGATGAACTTGGACCAGGACAGGGGAAGGCTGCAGAGTCGGGAACGTGGAGTACAGGGTGTGGGCTACTTAACGAGATCACAACACTCGCCAGTGCTTCCTTGCTGTAGGGAAAAGCGGTGGAGACCGAGGGGCTGACGGAGCGAGCCATAGGATAAGCTCTCTTTTAACCTGTGTCAGCACACGGGTTTTAGTTCAGCACACTGGTTTTAGTTCGGCACACTGGTTTTAGTTCGGCCTTAATTGTAGCAATAAATTGTTAAATTTATTTCAGCCTGTGTGGTTTCTGCTCTGCTCTAACCCCCGATTTAAAAGAACCTGTGTGTGAGTCCTGGGGCTCAGAGTAGCTGTTCGTGTTGTGGTGTCGGCGTTTCCTTTTTAAATATACTGTATTTTTACATAAAGCTTTCAACTAAACTTTTATCAAAACGGCCACACAGACACATGATTCGATGATCAGTCGACTATAGGCAAGACTTGACAATTGTGATTCGACTATGTAAATCCTTAGTCGGGCACTATGCCGTCCTCACTAAAAGTTCACCACTAGGTGGTGCTAAGAAAGAACAAAAGAGGCCTTTACACTGGTTCCAATTCAGGCACAGCTGTAGTTGATTATACTCAAAATATTATGCTAACAATTTGCAATGACATTTCTGAGTAGAATGAAAGTAAAATAAAGAAGTTGGAATAACTTAAAATCAAATATTTTGACCACTTAATAACACCAAAACTTTTAAATTATAATAAAGTTGGTTGCTTGTAGAGAACGTTTGTTCACGTTTGTTACTAAGCTAAGTGAGTTAGTCTAACTATAAATGTCTCATGAGATGCGCTCATAAATGGCTTGAGTTGGAATTACTTAAATTAATGCAAATTGTTACCTACATTTTAATTACGTAGAGCCAGTGTATTCTTTTGTAGAGTATACTTTAAAGACCAAATCTTGTTTTTATAAGGAAAATAATGTTTTTGAAAATAATTCTAATAAAACACATTGATTAAAAAAACACAAGGTTTGTTGTTGTTTTTAACATCTTTTAAATATCTGCAATATCTTTTTAAATGAAACGGTCACATTTAAATTATTACTAAATAAAATGTACAATGTACTTTAAATGTGACCATTTCATTTAAAAGGATATTTAAAAACATATTGAAAATGTTGTTTTATTTTAAAGATGTTAAAAACAAGAACCTATCATGGTATCATAGCTCATCCTCAGCTGTTGGTTAACTTGACCTACTTTGGAGTCACAGCAACATGCCCATATTGGGCGCCATCTTTTATTGTGGGAGTATATTATTATAGTATATTTTTATTTTATATATTATTATTAGACCCCAAAATTAAGACGAGGTCAGTTTTTAAGTCCTATTTTTGGACCAATACGGTAAATACTTGTACTGTGAGGCAGTACTTTGACTTGATTTTGGATCAGAGACATGTTTTCCCATCTTCAAGTCTGTGATCCACCTGCAAGTGGAGTCGGGCACGTTCAGCTGAGAGAGCTTGTCCTGCAGCAGGGCCGGGATGATGGTGTTAAAAGCGGAGCTGAATCCACAATCTGGATCCTGGCGAAGGTTCATAAAATGCTTTATAACAAACGGTAGGTTAGTTGTATGAATGTTAACAACAAGAACTCCTCCTGCAGCCATGAGTGGAGGCTGCTGTGTAAACAGATGAGAAATCATGACATCTTATAAAAGTTAATAAACACTCAACACTAAGATCTTTATAACTGCAGGATAATGTGTGATAAAACTTGTATTCAGAGCCTATTTGCTGCATATTAATGCTAAACTGGAGGAGAAGCAACAGTTCAGTCTTCTTGGAAATCCCACACCTGCAGGTAGCCAGTTAAAACCAGTGCAGAGGTTTTGGAGCTGGTCCAGAGTCAATTAAAGGCAACACCTGAACACCAGGAAGAACAACTCAGTCTGGTTTAAGTCATGGCTGCGTTAACATTTGTGGTTTTGTTCTCATTTTCATGGATCTTTGTTCTGGCCAAAATAGGTAAGGTGTGTGTGTGTGTAGGTGTGTGTTTTACATATATACAGCAGTACAAACCCAGATTTCAGAGATGAAAACAAATGTGACAAAAGGCCTCTCTGTTTATTGATGATTTAGATGATTGATTAATTACCTTTGGTAATGTTGGTTTATGGATTCACCTTCTGTTTAATGATCATTAGGAGAGAAATGTGTAAAACTTCCTGTATTGCTTTCATTAGCTGACCTTATGGCTCATTTATGCTCCTGCGTAGGGTCTACATTACATTTACTCATTTAGCTGACGTTTTTATCCAAAGCAACTTACAATTGCTGTACATGTCAGAGGTCGCACGCCTCTGGAGCAACGAGGGGTTAAGTGTCTTGCTCAGGGACACAATGGTGGATGTCTCACAGTGGGAATCGAACCCAGGTCTCCCACACCAAAGGAAAGCATCTGATCTATGCGCCATCATCACCCCTACGTCTACACGCGTAGCTACACCGTAGGCTATGAACGTAGCCATGCATTTATACTTGTGTGTCGGTGGTTTTGGTCACTCTGCATTTACACCAACCAACGCTAGTCGGCGGTAGCGCTACAGCGTCCACTGTGTTGACTTGTGCCGGCCGAACAGGCTAATTTTCCGGTTTAGCCCTCCGCTAACGTGAATGAGGGTAAAATTGTATACGTGCGGCTGGTTTAGCCTTTTCAAAAGTTATCATCATGTCATTTCGCTCGGGTTGTGACGATCACATATATTGATCCACTGCGTTACAGCCGCTGGTTTGGCCGCTAGTAAAAGTTATTTCAAAGCACGGTGCACTTACTGTCGGCTCAGAGGCATTGCGAGGCTACCCAGCTGACCAGTCGCAGTGCTTATGGTCTGTGTCGCCTCGACGTGTAGTTACATTTTTGAGGAGGTGCACGTCAGGTGACAGCGTAGGGTACACCGTCGATGGGACGCAGGAGTATAAATTACACTTAAGAATTAGTTAATGACTGCAGTCTGCACAATTTACACAACAATTACTCACTATAACTTTTAATAATCAGCCTGCTGTTGTTGTAACTTATAAATTCATTCCTACTTACAACATATTCATTAAATATACACTTATTTTGTAGAATTTGACTCTGTAAGCTGCTGAAACCGCAGAGACCAACATGTGTCCTCTCCCCTCTCGTGGTGTCTGTCCATGCAGATCCAGCAGCTTCATTTGTCTCTCTGAGAAGTAAAGCAGTTTCATACTGTAGGGACTCTTTCCTCAGTAGAAGTAGTTCAGACACAGTCTGAGTAGATGACGGACAGACTGGGGACACATTTGGAAAACAAGGACAAAGATTCAAAGCTTCTAGGAAATAATAAACTTCACATGTTTAATATTTCAGCTGTTTGTTCAGGCTCAGAAATGCTGATGTCTGTATTCAGATGGGAAATAATATCAATAATCAATAATCTCCAAACAAGCAGAAAGCAGATGAAAGTAAAATGTCTCCTGTCTGATGGTGCGGAGGACGACTTGACTGACAGCTGTAGAAATGAGCAACATGAAGTCAGCGTGCAGCTGCAGCAGAGGAGTTAGTCTCTCCTTTCTGCAGCTGGGACTCAAGTTGTCTGAGAACAGGGTTTGAAATGCTGCTGAGTTCACATGTGCTGTTTTATAGAGACCTGATCTCTGCTGCTTCCATCAAAAGATGTTTGAACAACAGGAAACATTACAAGTCCTGACTGGAGGCTTTTCTCTTTCTGTTCAGAGACACAGGAGCTGAAGGTGGATCCAGGAGAGGACGCCACTCTGGAGTGTCGGGTTCGCAGTCGTTACATGGAATCAGATCTACATTGGATGAGAACTAAGCCGTGGTTAGATAGACCTCTCATGTACTTCCGAGTAAATATGTCATTTGAAAGATTCCTGGATCCATCTTTTCGTGGTCGAGTGGAGCTGAAAGATCCAGAGCTGAAGGACGGAAACTTTTCTGTGATTCTGAAGAACGTCACCATCAACGACGCTGGAACATATGAGTGTGATTGGGCCGGGTGGCGCTGCTTCAAGTACAGAATAGATCCCTTCAGCATCATCATTCTATCAGTAACAGGTAAACGTGTAGAGCTCAGAGTGTCTCTTTGTCTCTCAGGTGAGCGTGTAGAGCTCAGAGTGTCTCTTTGTCTCTCAGGTGAGCGTGTAGAGCTCAGAGTGTCTCTTTGTCTCTCAGGTCAGCGTGTGGAGCTCAGAGTGTCTCTTTGTCTCTCAGGTGAAGCTGCTTCCTGGTAGTTGAGCTGAGAAACATCACAGATCAGATGTTTGTGTTTTAGAAAGATGTTGCTGATGAGACTTTAGAGGAAACAGCTGCTACGAGTCATGTGATCAAAGTGCAGTAGATAATGTCTGACATTCTGTTCACCTGCTGACAGCTGATACCTCACACCTGTTTCTGCTCTGCAGGTCAAACCGCTGGAAACATCTCAGCTGGAGAAAACCAAGATAAAGTAATCAAGGACAGAGAAAAGATGGATGAAGGAAAAAAGTTCAGAGGAAACAAGGATGTAAGAAAAGCAGAAGGAAACAGGAGTTTCCTTCATAGCAGAGAACATGTCGGACTAGTCGTTGATGTGTTACTTGGCGCACTTCTTGTTGCTGTTGTTGTTGCTGCCTTTGTAGTTTTTCGTTTCATAATCTGTAGAAAATATAAAGTCCTCACAGAGATTAATTCATACTGACCTGCTGCTCATACAGAAACTGACCATCTGCAGTCCATCTATTTCGCCCCTGAACGTTTGTGTCCTGCTGCTGTCACACAAAGATGAAAAAGAAAAACACAAAGCAAACCGAACAACAAGTCACAGGCGAATATGTTGTAGTCCACAGGTGAGAATAAAAACATATAAATAACATGTGAGAACCTCTATTAATAAATGAAAAAAATACAATATTTCTGCATGACCACAGAGAGCAAGAAAGAAATTGCATCACTTTTAAGGTAACAGATTCCTGCTTCTGAAAATGAAATACATACATTCACATTTAGCTGACGCTTTTTATCCAAAGCGACTTACAATTGCTGTATATGTCAGAGGTCGCACGCCTCTGGTGCAACATGGGGTACATGTCTTGGTCAGGGACACATTGGTGGATGGGTCACATTGGGGCACTGAACCTCTGTCTCTCACACTGCTGCATGCAGTTTCCACCTTTGATGTTAGCCGGTATTCATCAAGCTTCTCAAAGTGCCATTTGAGTCTTAAGTGCTGAGAATTCATGAAATTTACTCCTACTTTTAAACTTAAGAATGAAATAAAGTTATCAAATGCCAGTAGGGGCTTGTGATGGCGCTGTGGAGACAGAGACATGCGCAAATCCTTCAGGAGGGGAAGAATTTCTGAATTATTTGACGACACACAGGTAATTAGGCGGGGTCAGACAGCGCAGGCATAAATTATGTCGGCGAGTTGGTGAGGGACGTCATCTCACCACTGACTTTACACAGTAATGCATTTTCAGTTAAACTGAAGGTGGTGATGACACTTTGTTTCTTTGCATCAGGACAAATGCAGCAATGCTGATGATTTTGGCCCGTCACAACCATCAAAAGCACTTATGCTACAGCTCCACACATTGTCACGCGTTTCATTGACTTCTCAACAACACCCCCCAGTAATCCGACAGAAGCAAACACAGTTCATGCAAATAGCCGGCTTCACATGAGTAGTTATGGCACTCATATAAAGATCAACTTTTTTATCTTTCATTTCCAATGTGTATATCATAATGTATTCTCTTGAAAATTCTTAATTGTTAAACGTGTGTTGAATATAAATTCCTCTTAGGAATTTCACCGTTCAATGTGAATTCATCAGAGAATATTCTTAAATAAGGAAAACTATTCAGTGATTGGTCCTTGGCTACATCGTCATCCAAAATCCCATTTGCGGCACAGCAAACTACGGGCCCAGATCGTGATACATGCTGCATTATATCAGACTGCGGTTTATGTTTCTGTGTTCAGGTCATATTGTAGATTTTGGGGGATGGTTTCTGTTTGTTTCTGTTGTAAAGCTCTTTATTGTTCTGCTTTCAGAAGCTGCTTTTTAATGTCTCTTTGTTTTTAATTCAGTCTCTGACAATAATGTAGACGGTGAATGGTCTGTATTTACTTGTAGTTACTGGAATTCTTAAAGCTCAATAAATAAACTGCAGCAGAGCTGTTGACACGTCTGTTCTCACTTGGAGAGCAGCTGAACCAGTCTCAGAGAAAAACAACTTGAGCCCCACCCGTGTCCCTCCCTGCACAGCTATTCACATCTTCTTACAAAACATCTTTGCTCCAAAGCAAGTGAAGGTCCTGCATTCAAAAAAAACTTAATTACAATTACAGAAGTGTTTACAGTACTTGTATCTTAAGTGTTTCAGCTGGTGGAGCTTATAATAACTACTTTACATAATGTTGGAGGTTTAATCTAAAGCCATGTTTCCATCACTGTTTTGCACATTTTGAAGTATCACATTAGAAAAGGTTGATGGAATTGGCAAAATTCCGGGGGGAAAAAACCTTCGTTTCGCGAAAAAGTATTTAGGCTCGCTTGACACTTTTGCCAAATAAGATCGGATGTAGCAAACATGCAACTCACGTCTGATGAGCTGTTTCCACTGTCAGCATCTTGCTGGATATTCCCATTCAGCGCGGAGAAATGGCTGGTAGCCAAAAAAAAATTGCGTGACAATTGGATGAAAATATGGCTTACATGGCTCATACATACATACATGTTGTACAGGTAACATGGTAATCTGAAGATTAACCTGGAACTACAGCTGTCAGATATATGTGGTACAGTAGAAGCAGCATGAAATAGAAATACTAGAAATAGTAAAGTACAAGTGCCCTAAAATTCTGCTTACATGAGGCAATGTAATTGTGTAATTTCCCACCACAAGCAATGTGAGCTGTTGAACATGTTGATGCAGGTCTGAACTCCACACAATTCACCTGAGCAGAAAGCCGCCCAGGTAACAAACTCTGCCTTATCTCTCTTTATATCCAATATACACGGAGGATTAAAGGGTTTAAAACTTGACTCACTGTCTTTAAGGAAATCTGTAGAGCGGAGTGGGCAACATCACAAAATGTGTTTTCCATGTTACACAAAGTAACGCCAGAGAAAGATCACCCAACACTCTCCTACAGTCGGCCTGCACAGGTGAAGTACAGGTAGATGTAATCACTCTCTACAGCCAGCAGAGGGAGCTGTCGCATCTACAAAAGAGAGCAGCAAAGTGGTACCTGACCCCATTGTCTGCTGTGCACTCCCAGTCATATCAAACCCACGGCAGTGATTATATAAGCATATGAGGGTTATTACCATCTCACAAAAGTGAGTACACGCTTCATATTTTTGTAAATATATATATATCTTTTTATGTTACATCACTGAAGAAATTACACTTTTGGCGCTTTTCCATTAGAGACATTCTACTCCTTGTGTTTGACACTACATGCATTTCCTGACTGTGTTGCAAAGATAACAAGCTGCACAAACAACCTATTTAGTCATTTATCTGTGGAGAACAGGCTGGAGTTGACTGAACTGATTAAATTTATTACTAAATTAGCCGTTCTAACTATTTTAGTATTTAATTACAGTAATTACTTTACAGCAACTACAGACCACTCTGGTTGATGTTTTTATGTTTGGTCCTGCAGGGCACAAATATAATTATAAAGACGAGAACAACGAGAAAGCAAAATCGAAAACAGCACACATGCTTCACGACAGCGACATACAGCCGCTGTAAAGAAAAAATAACCACATCTGTTTGTTCCTGCTTTCTTTCTCTCCAGCAGCCTTCCTCTGTGCTTGTTTGATGTGTCCACAGAGCCCCCTACAGTGTCGCAGAGCAACAGCAACTCCAGCACAGACAGCACATGAACAAAAAGAAATACATGAAGTGCACATTAACTCTTGCAAACAGTATAAACAACCTGCAGAGGAGATGGTGCATGGGTTGATGTAGGAGCCATGTTGAGAGGTTCAGTCTGCTTCGAAGAAAAACCTCTTGAAGAGAATCTTTGATTTAAGATGAAACACTTCAAACTGACTGTTGTCAACTTGAGTGAAATCTGCGTCGCATCGACTGGATTTGGCTTTGCTTTCAATCTAAATAAAACCTCATTCAGTAACATAAAATAAAAACAGTAAATACAGATTATTTAATGAAAATACGTTTAACTGCAGCACAAGAACAGCAATGGTGGAGGTTCATTCTTGACCTTGGGAACAAATCTGTAATAAACTTGGGTGTGATGAGACACTCTAGTAATAAATGAGTCTAAACTCAAGCCTCACATACTACCTCTTTGTTGGAGCTTTCGACCACATCCCATGGCCTTCTTAAACAAACTGAACTTCCTCATCACATGACTTTAGTCCAGCACGGTCACATGATAAAAGGTGGATGTATTCAGGTGGAGATGGTAACCGCTTAGGTACCTCAGGTCAGTCTGCACAGATTACGTGCGGCTGAATAAGTACAACAGCTAACGACTTAAGGAGAAAGAGAAATACCTAAATATTTAACACAGAACAAGACAGAGCAGGAGAGTGAAAAGGAGAGAGAGAAGCAAGCAAGATTTAGAGAGAGCCGCTAAAAGAAAGAGGAGTGTTTGATTATTCCACACTAACGTTACTCAGCATGCCTGCATTTTGAGAGAGCACGAGAGAAAATCCACATTGGTTCAAGCTTCAGAGCTCAATTCGCTTCGACAACAACAGTCACCGAGCAGGAGACAGATCAAGGAGGACATTCACATCTGACACCAGAGAGCATCTGTGAACATAGAAAAAGGTTACCATCTCCACCTGTTATCATTTGACTCAGTGTCATACTGAGGTCATGTGGTGATTACGAAGGCTGATCCAGCCAGGGTTGGTTGGGCAAAACAGGAGTCTTGATGAAATCACCTTGGACTTTTCTCAACAGCAATAGGCAAGTTTTTAACATTTTGTTACGAAACGCGTAATCAAGGAAATACTTCACAAATAAATGGACAGTGGGAAAATAATACTTTATTATAGTGAAGTACATAGGTAGAATAAAAACTAAACGCATATAGAGATAATTCATGAACAAATATTCAACTCTACTACTTAGAGAGAATAGTTGTTCCTTAAAAGTGAAAATCCAAGTGAATCAGGGGCTGTAACGAAGCAGGATCGATGGATAACTTCGAGGTCAGCCGAGCTGATAGAATAAGGCTGACATTTTCATACACGCCATAAAAGCCCCTCCGCAGCCTCCGATGCTGATAAGCAGCGCACTCTTGACAGACTGGGCCACTTTCAGACTTGTGAGTTTGGTTTGAAATGCTGTTTCACAGATATTTCCTGAGCTGACTGTTGGCTGTGTGTGATGTGATGCAGGCGCAGATCGCCATAATACGTTTACACGTGTCTTTCCGTTTTCTTTTCTGTCTTTTTTTCTGTCCGTCAAAGCGGCGGATGGCCCAAAGATTTCACCCACCACCAAGTTATCCGCAGGAGCTACTTTCATTCCCTGAGTGACAGTTAAGTTTCTGTAGTGTCAGCTACATTGTACAACAACAAGTCAACGTTACAGCGTAACGTGCAAATTTGATGCTTCCTCTGCAGACTGGTTTAGTCTTGGGTGTCATGAGACCAGAGTGTAATCGCAGCCTTTGTGATTAGAAAATCTGGTTTTATCACATTGCGATAATATGGCAAATGCAATTAATCGTTCAGCCCTACTCAGTAGAATGTATGTTATTGTAGCCATGACGTGCTGCTCAAAAATATACAGTTATTGTTGTTTATCACTCAGTTTGTAGAGAAGAATCCTGTAGCATGATGAAAAAGTTAAAATGAAGCACTGTGACTGCGTTGGTGACGTTTAAGGGAACCACTCTGAGTGAAAGCTTTCCCACATTGATCACAGCAGTACGGTTTCTCTCCAGTGTGAACACGTTTGTGGGTTTCTAGGTCAGTTGATGTAGTGAAAGCTTTCACACACAGGCCACAGCTGTACGGTTTCTCTCCGGTGTGTACACGACAGTGCCTTTTTAGTTCAGCTGATGTAGGGATATTTTTTCCACACTGCTCACACCAGTATGGTTTCTCCCCAGTGTGAACACGTCCATGAATTTTTAGTTTATCGGATGTTGTGAACGCTTTTCCACATTGATCACAGCTGTATGGTTTTTCCCCAGTGTGAACACGTTGGTGTATTTTTAGGCAACCAGATGTCGTGAACGCCGCCACACATTGGTCGCAACTGTACGGTTTCTCTCCAGTGTGAACACGTCGGTGGATTTTTAGGCAACCAGATGTAGTGAACGCTGCGCTGCATTGGTCACAGCTGTACGGTTTCTCTCCAGTGTGAAAACGTTTGTGTTTTTTTAGTTCACCTGATGCAGTGAAAGCTTTACCACATTGGTCACACCTGTACGGTCTCTCTCCAGTGTGAACACGTTGGTGGACTTTTAGTTCACCTGATCGAGTGAAAGTTTTCCCACACTGGTCGCATCTGTACGGTTTCTCTCCAGTGTGAACTCTCTGATGAATCTTTAAAGATCCAGATGTTGAGAAGGATTTATCACAGTGATGACAGCGGTTGATTCCCTCTCTTCCTCTCAGTTTCTGTAACAGATAGACGTACAGAGAGAAAGACAGTGAGTGAGATGTCATGGTGGAGCGAGCTATCCAGCAGAATAAATGACATTTAGAGCATCTGTGGAACATAAACCACAATGTTCAAGAATGACTAATGCATTAACACCTGTAATCACAAACTGCAGGGGTTTGTCCACAGAGGGGCCTTTTAATCTTCATCGCAATATGAACATGTGCAATAAACACATCACAAAAGATGGCTGAAATGCAATGATTAACAAAAACTAATTTTATTTAGCAATGGGCACCAAAATGCATTATTAAACAGGTCCCTAATGAATGAATGTAGTAATTATTATCAGGCTTCCTCCTCTGACCATACTCTATGTCGGCTCCTCCACACACACACACACACACACACACACACACACACACACACACACACACACACACAAACACGCAGGCAATCTGCTGTGGAGATGAAGTGAAGTAAATCCACATGCAAAAAAAGTTAAAGCCAATACTCAATCAATCCACCTGCTTGGTAATAGCAAAAGGTTTCAAACAAGCTCAAACAAAAGCTGTCAGCCTGTAGCACAGGCCGTATTAAAGAAGTGGACGTAGCCTCCATGACGTCACTCATCGTTTGTGGACTACCGTTTTGAACAGGGGTGTGACGAGATGACAACATTAAAATATGAAAAAATATAAATGTGCACGTTTGCAGGTATTGACACACTTTTCCACAAGTGCATAAAAGGGAAGTCACACATGTCACAAAGTAATGTGGAAGTGCTGCACAAATGTGCAAGACCCAGTGCACATGTACAAATTACTTCTTGTGGATATGATTTAACACAAGACAAATGTAAAAATACATATTTGTGGATAGTGAAATATTTGTAGATCATAGTACACATTTGTGGATTATCTTCTGTGGGTCCAACAAAACCGTCCTTAATTAAAGAGGCGGTATTATGCTCATTTTTCAGGTTGAAAATCTTATTTAGGGGTTGTACCAGAACAGGTTTACATGTTCTAATTAAAAAAAAAAACAACATACGTTTGTCATACTGCACATTGCTGCAGCTACTCTTTTGTGTTGAACGCTTCGTTTTAGCTATGTAGTGATGCATCTTGCCTCTAAATGATCCTTGTTGGGAGTTGCACATATGCAGTTCTTAGTTAAGGAGCAAGAGTTTCAGAGTGGTGAGTTACTAATCTGTAACAAAAGTATCTAACAACAAAAGAGACCCGGGTTCAATCCCCCACTGTGACACATCCACCATTGTGTCCCTGAGTAAGACACTTAACACCTAGTGGCTCCAGAGGCGTGCGACCTCTGACATATATAGCAATTGTAAGTCGCTTTGGATAAAAGTCAGCTAAATGAATAAATAAATGTAGGAGAGGTGTGTGTGCTGCAGCTCAGTGTTTTTCCACTGGTGTTTTTGAGGGTGTGTCAGACTAACCGCTTGGCGAGGTGTTTGCTTTCATCCCTGTAAGGTCAAAGGGATGAAAGGGAAGCGGCTGGACTACAAACGAGCGGTTTTCAAGCAGTTCAGAGCAGAGATTAGCAGATTTTACTAGTGGGGCTCATTTATCCAGCAGTGGTGGTTTGCCAAATACAGGGGGAACATAATACTGTGGAACACTGGTTTCTGTTATGTGCACACCACATGCGACGGGCGCTGCACTTCCAGCTTTTGCGTTCCATCAACATTATCTTATTAACATTTAGAATATCTATTTTTGGCATTTGAATTCAGAATTGTCCATGTGGCAAGGCATCTAAGAATCAAGTGCAGATTCTGTGTATGGTTCGTTCTTTGCTTATTTTGTTTCAAAAACCAAATCATTTTTAGTCTTTCTGTCTTAAAACCAAAACAGAAAAATATTGATTTTGATATTTAAAGAGTCCGATTTGTGTAACTTTGTGTGTTATACTTGATAAACCTGCAGCAGATACACGTGGGCAATGGCTGTGCCTGATTAAATGCTTGAGCTTGAAAATCAACATGGCTTTTTAGTTTGAAAAACAGGACAATATCATGTAGCTGCAGTACTGGAGGTATGCAGCTATATAATATTGGCTCACTAACTCACTAGCAACTGGAATACGAACTGTTTCCTCAGAATCCTCCGGAAGGTTCGGGTAATTTTCGTTCAGCCTCTTCCTCAACAACGCATGTTACTGTACAAAGCAAGTGTGGAGTGTGGAGTGGATTTATTCTGAAACAGTAGTCAGTCCTCTCATTTCTCCCTAGTTCATTACTTCTAACTATTATTTAACATAACTTTCCGTTGCTAAATTAGCCACAATGCCAATGCCGTGTTTATCAGTGGAGGAGCACTAACGTAAATGAGCGTTTAAACTATAGTGTTTGATGGATTCTAAATATATCTGCGAGCTGCTTGACTTTAGTTACAGTCAGCGTGTCAGAAATGATTAAACCAGAACGGACTTGTGAATAAAAGTGAGCTGTACATCTAACACGGCTTCCTACCTAACAAAGTTCTCTAACGTTACTACTTCTTTTAAGTGTGAAACGTTAGTGTGAAAGTTGCAGGTCCTCGTTGTAGACAGTCATATAGTAGATTAATTAAAACAGCAGTGTTTCCTCTGTGTCACTGTATCATAGGTGGCATGTTTTAGAAAGTAGTCATTGTGGCAGATTATATGTAAGGTAGGCCTAATAACTATTGCATGACTAAAATACACTGCTCAAAAGAATAAAGGGAACACTAAAATAACACATCCTAGATCTGAATGAATGAAATAATCTCATTAAATACTCCTTTCTTTACATAGTTGAATGTGCTGACTACAAAATCACACAAAAATTATCAATGGAAATCAAATTTATCAACCCATGGAGGTCTGGATTTGGAGTCACACTCAAAATCAAAGTGGAAAACCCTACAGGCCGATCCAACTTTGATGTAATGTCCTTAAAAGAAGTCAATATGAGGCTCAGTAGTGTGTGTGGCCTCCACGTGCCTGTATGATCTCCCTACAACGCCTGGGCTCCTGCTGAGGTGGCGGATGGTCTCCTGAGGGATCTCCTCCCAGACCTGGACTAAAGCATCCGCCAACTCCTGGACAGTCTGTGGTGCAACGTGGCGTTGGTGGATGGATAGATAGTCCATAGCATCAATGCCTTCCTCTTGCAGGAACTGCTGACACACTCCAGCCACATGAGGTCTAGCATCGTCTTGCATTAGGAGGAACCCAGGGCCAACAGCACCAGGAAATGGTCTCCCAAGGGGTCTGAGGATCTCATCTCGGTACCTAATGGCAGTCAGGCTACCTCTGGCGAGCACATGGAGGGCTGTGCGGCCCCCCAAAGAAATGCCACCCCACACCATTACTGACCCACCGCCAAACCGGTCATGCTGGAGGATGTTGCAGGCAGCAGAACGTTTCCACGGCGTCTCCAGACTCTGTCACGTCTGTCACATGTGCTCAGTGTGAACCTGCTTTCATCTGTGAAGAGCACAGGGCGCCAGTGGCGAATTTACCAATCTTGACGTCCTGCACGGTGCAACCCCCACCTGTGGACGTCGGGCCCTCATACCACCCTCATGGAGTCTGTTTCTGACCGTTTGAGCAGACACATGCACATCTGTGGCCTGCTGGAGGTCATTTTGCAGGGCTCTGGCAGTGCTGCTCCTGCTCCTCCTGCTCCTCCTTGCACAAAGGCGGAGGTAGCGGTCCTGCTGCTGGGTTGTTGCCCTCCTACGGCCTCCTCGTCTCCTGGTAGCGCCTCCATGCTCTGGACACTACGCTGACAGACACAGCAAACCTTCTTGCCACAGCTCGCATTGATGTGCCATCCTGGATGAGCTGCACTACCTGAGCCACTTGTGTGGGTTGTAGATTCTGTCTCATGCTACCACTAGAGTGAAAGCACCACCAGCGTTCAGACGTCACCAAAACATCATCCAGGAAGCACAGGAACTGAGAAGTGGTCTGTGGTCACCACCTGCAGAACCACTCCTTTATCGGGGGTGTCTTGCTAATTGCCTAGAATTTCCACCTGTTGTCTTTTCCATTTGCACAACAGCATGTGAAACTGATTGTCAATCAGTGTTGCTTCCTAAGTGGGCAGTTTGATTTCACAGGAGTGTGACAGACTTGCAGTCACATTGTGTTGTTTAAGTGTTCCCTTTATTTTGTTTGAGCAGTGTACATATGTAATTATTTGCCTATGTAGGAGAGGCCTGTTTATCATTATTATTATAGCAATAATATTATAGCAATGAAAATATCAAAATTGGTATTGGACTTAAAAATCCCATTTCGGTCGGGCTCTAGTTATGAGCTGTACCGTTGATTGGTCAATTAATTGTTAATGGCACTGAGAGTGGCAAATAATTATGATGCACATTGTTCCTGTTTACATTGCAAATGTGCTCTAACTTTTATAAGATGTATGATAATGGCAACATTCACAGTTGGAGAACGTGTTGCTGTCGAGTTCGCAAGATTACAAAACAGACATGTTTACTTTCTAAAGAAAAAAGCAGTTCTCCTGTCAGCGGCTAATCCGTCCCAAACTCCCATTAACAAAATCAGTTTTGTAAGGTGTTGAGTAAGAGGAAACTATAAAAATGTTGTGAATCGCTACAAAATTGTTTTTATTGGTCCCTAAATTTGGCAAATGTAATGCATGACCGTCTTCGTATATTAAAATAGTGTCAGTTTGTCCCAGTGTGTTGCAGTACCGACATGTAAGCTGCTTCGTCACTAGACAGCAGATCAACTGTTCAGATCAGTGCTCGCACAGCGCTGCACAGACACCTATTTCTTACTGTATATACCCGTTTGGTCCATGACAGGACTTGATGTCAGTGGAACTTTCTGTTTCTGTTTCTGCAGCAGAAACACTTATAAAAGATGTATTTTTAAAAGCAGCATTCATTTTATTGTCCTGACTGTTAATTAGCACATGGCTTAAACAACTTCAAGTTTAATTTAAAAGGTGATAGCTAAATGAGAGGCAGCCTATCAGCGTTGAGATTGTCTGGACGTCACCAACGGCTTCATAGCGTTGTGTGGAGAGGGCCAGGCCGAGCAGGTGATTGAAATGCCGCTGTCCGGCGGAGAGCTACTAAGCAGAGGACAGAGCAGCGCTGCAGCTTTTGGACAAATAAACACCCATAGGATTGCTGGATTCTGCTCTGACAACTACGCCTTTAACCGCAGGAGGAGCTCAGAGTAAACTGCTTTTATTAAATTAGCTTTTTACTTTAGTTTTGGGGATTACAAAGTTGCTTTATCTTCACTCCAGCTTCTCAGCAGCTAGCTGCTAGCTTCCGTGCACATCCGGTTCCACTGTTGTCGTTAGCATTGGTTGGCACCCAGAGCTCTGTTGCACTACTACTTCATATTTATATATAAAACGGACAAAACTGGACATTACTGGGAGAAAGAAAGCGAGGAAGTTGAACTACCTGGTGAGTTCAAATAATATGTGTCTGTAACTTTATTCCAGCTATCGTTCTTTACTGTGAACTTGTTAGCATAGCATAGCCCTGATCGATCCAAACTCCATTCAAAAACAAAACATTTTAGAAATTGTTGTCCTGCGGTCTTGCTGACAGACCTGACAAACAAACGGCATCATATTGTAGTTATTTCAGCATCAGTTAGATTTTTTTATTGCAAATAAATCACAGCAAAATGTTTACTTTGGTTTCATACAGCTGTGGTATTTGTGGGTTGCGAGGATTAAATTCGCATTTGGTGTGAATGCACAGTTAGCGACTTTATTCTGTCTTTTTCTCGCTTCGTAACGAGTGTTACAGGATGAGAGGCTTACCTGAAGACAGGCTATTATCAAATTGCGTCGGACTTGGTAAATGTAGCGCAAAGATGGAGGATACACATGACAAAATCTGTTTTTTAAAATAAGGTTTTAACTCAACGTGTACAGTGTGGAAAGATTAATTGCATTATATTCACAGAAAGTATTAAACATGTTACATGTGTCCATTAAAAGTAAATTACAATGTTAGGGAAAGTACTTAGAAACAGTGTTGGGGTAGTTTCTCAAAAAAGGTAATGGATTACACATTAGTAGTTACTTTTTTAAAGTAATGCCTTACTTTACTAGATTACTCACTGCTGAAAGTAACAAGTTACTTTACTTTTGGATTTCTGATTTTTTTTTCTCCAATATTGCGATTTAATATGCGATTAATTTTTAAGCTCATAACCTTCTTTATTATTCAAAATGGACAAGCAGTAAATCGGTGTATAGTGTGACCAACACAACATTAGATAGAACTACACTTTCTTGTGTTATGAAGAATTAGGTAGAATTATTATTATGAGCAATGGTGGAGAAGATATATCAAACAATAATAATATGAGGTAGATAATTCGAGTCAAGTCATGGCATTAAATAATATGATATAATATCATCAGGTCGGCCTACAGACCACAAGAAAAACTAAGTTCACCACAGTGTGTTATACAGAAAGCGCTCAATACAAAACCCACAGTTCATCTCCATCTCTTAGGAGTTCATCTTTCTAGATCGCAGTAAGCAAACAAAAAAATACTTTAGGTTCCATTGAAAAGTTTGCCACCGAAAATAAAACCAAGAGTCGCCTCTCGTGTTTAATAGACAAGCTTAGTAATTCTCCTATAACACCAGAGTTCCCCCGCAGCCTCCGATACGGCTGAGCAGCGCACTGGCTCTAACCGGGCTGTAACTCGGGACAGACTGGGCCTCTTAAGGACTTGTGCATTTAGTTTGAAATGCTGTTTTACAGATATTTTCTGAGCTGACTGGTGGCTGTGTGTGTGACGCAGGCGCCAATCGCTACTATACGCTTACCTTACTACACGTCTTTCTGTTGTGCATTTTTCCTGTCCGTCAAAGCGGCGGATGGCCCGACGATTTCACCCACCAGGACCACGTTACCCACGGGGGGCAGCTGCTACTTTCACTCCTTGTGTGACACTTAAGTTTATGTAGTGTCAGCTTCTGTCAAGCGTAAGGCCGTTGTACAACAAGAAGGCAAGGTACAGCGTAAGGTGCAGACAAAGCATCAACTTCTTGGGTGTCATGTGACCAGAGTGTAATCGCAGCCTTTGAGATTAGGAAATCTCGTTTTTTACATCGCGATAATATCGCAAATGCAATTAATTGTTCAGCCCTAACATGGATCATGTGTAATATTCATCCAGCTACAGGGAACGATCCTGAACCGTTCACCGCGTGTCGGTCGTACTAGCGACACAACCCGTACCGGAGAGGGAGTGGGGCGGACCAGGACAGGAGATCACGGAGCGACCGGCCCGCTGCAGATGGTCGGTGATCGTTCCCTCTGGCTGGATGAAGTCTGATGCTCCGCATGATCCATGATGACAGAGAAATATAGAGATTAATGTGAATAAAGCAAGCTGTCAATATTTTAGAGACCCCCAAAAATATCACAAATCATGCTTTTAGGGAAGCTGATGTCTTATTAAAGGGGAGCTAAGTTCCCCCTGGCTCCTCTGTAGCTCGCACCCTGAGCAGGAGTCTCTCAAATTGTTTGTCAGTCAACCTGTTCCTCCTCAGAGCCAGTACAAGACTGCCCAGGCTAAAGAGTCTCGCCACAGAGGGTATCGATGTCCTTTCACAAAACAATATGAATACCTGCACCCCTCGAAAGAATTCTTTGGCAGCTCTGCAATTTCAGCTTACACATGAACTGGCGCCGAAATCAAAGGTGAGGTCGGAAAAGTGTTACGAAAACACACACGAAAAGGGACGTTTGATTTATTTTTCTCCCCTCCTGTTGTGCAGATAGTTCAAGAACCAGTTTGCAAGTAACGCAATGGTTATGTTATTAGTAAGTGTAATGTGACTACTGAAGTTATCAACAGTAATGCGTTACTTTGTACTTTGTACCCTCAACACTGCTTACAAATTACTCTTTGGTTTACAGTTGCTGGAAAATCATTACCTAAATGAGTGGACTTTTTTTGCCGTTTCATCATCTATACAGCGTGTTTATGATCAAATTCTTTACTGGCGTACAAAATTGTTAATAAGAGTTCAAAGTTCTTCATAGATTAAGCCTCTTTATTTTGTTTTTAGTGCCCCAAACTACTGCACTTAACTTTAAAATGTATACATATTTCTTCCACGGGGGCAAACCCCCAGACACCCCTAGAGGGTCGGTGTCTACCAACCATAGTCTCACAAAATCCTGTGGAAAACACTATATCCAATAGGCTATTGCAACAAAACTGACAACACCACAGAGGAAGAGCCATCCACTAACACTACAGTGAAGTTATTTACTGCGGTCGAACTGTTATCAAGTGTGACACAATCTCATTATAATATTCAATCCAGCTCACTATCTCTGTAGCTGTGCCTCTGGTGAAAGATACACAAATAGTAAAGTTAGTTACTGAAAAGCAGCATGTATCACGTCAGCTAAATACAATAACTGTAACGCTATCATGTAACGAGCAAGGATAAGGTCCATGACCCTATTGACGTTGTCACTCTGCCTTTTTTCCGGGAGTATTCGAGTTGATTTGCCTCTGAGCCGGGAACGCTGAAGTAACAGAGGCTGAAAAGTCACAGCTTGCACGCTGGTGTTTGTGTTTATTGCAGGATTTCTGTATGAACGCGGTTGCGTCTCGGGTTATGCTCGCTCATGAGTTCAAGCGAGCACACGCCGGGTTGAAAATCTTAACACCACACTGCTATTGGCTGCTGAAAACTCCATAATGCCCCTTTAAATATAATATTTTCACAAATAGAATAAAGGTTCACAATTCTGAATCTGTGCATTAAAAGAAACTTTAGCCTCTCTATAATAATCTAGTCCAGATTTGACAGCTCGAGGCATAGTGGTTTATGATCAGGGCCTGGTCCCATGTATAAAATTTAAATTGCCCTTTATATTACTGTAACAAATAAAAAAGACGGTTTTAGACAGCGTTGAGACTTCATCTAAAACCTCTAACAGCTTTCACAACAGTAAGAGGAGCAAAACACGGAGGATCAGTCAGTCAGAAACGAAACTTTCTGTTAACTGCCTAACCGGAAGTTAACTTCAGCTTTGTCCAGTCTGAGCAAGCTAAGTTAGCTAGCATGCTAACACCTACATGCTACAAGAGACCTCCTCCTCCTCCTCCTCCTCCTCTCCGGTTCCGACCGTCACATTAAGTGTGGGTTCTGTAGAGATACGGGGTTCTGATGGCTCCACTGTTGAATCCTGCTACATTACATCTTGTTTACAGTCAATATGAAGCTACGTGTCGGAACCAGGCCGAGCTAACGCCACGTTAGCTTCTTGTTAGCTGCTAGCTGTGTTCATGAACACTGACCTGAACATCGGTGCTATCAGAGCTCGAGCCTGCTGTTTGTCCTCCGGGGACGTTGTTGCTCCGGGGCTCCGGGTCCTGGTTGTCCTCCTCCATCCCGCTCTTGGTCCTGGTCTCTGAGATCCAGCAGGTCTCCTCTGTGACTGTCGGAGCTCTTCAGATTCAGGAGCGCTGCGGGACCCCGTGGAGCTTTACGCCCCCTTAGTTACTGTTGCTAAGCGCTTAGCAGATTGAAGCTTTTTGTCCCGCAGAGATTCACAAACCATCGTTACTGTATCAGCAGCTGGAGACTCTGTTCTGTTCTCCAGACTGCAAACAGCCTTAAAACGAGTTCTGGTGATTCAGTTCATTTCAAACAGTCATTTCTTTTTGTCCTCATTGTTCCATATTTAACACTTGTGGGTCATGAAAGTGCGTTTATGCTGAAGTGGCCGTGAGAGACGTGTTTGTTTCTGACAAGTTTTCCTAGAATTATTTTCAAAGTGATAGAAACCAAAGATCAAATGTGTTGAATCCATTTTTTAAAAGGTGTGTTTAAGCTGAATTTAGCAGGATAAGCCACTGATGTGTCTCTTCTGGTCCTTCAGTAGTTAACTGCTGCTTCTTGTCCCTGACACAGACACAGATCTGAGATCAGTATTGGAGCAGCAGCATCAGCCATCTGAAACTGACACTGAGTGATTTCTAAACCTGTGACAGGTGAGGAGTGTAAATGAGGCTGCAGCGAGGGAGGACGTCCCGTGTGGTGAATAAAAGTCCTTCGTCCTCACGTGTCTCCTCCCTCTCAGAGATGCTCGGAGGAAGCCAGGAGTCAAACAGCGTCCACTTGTCCCACCTGTTGTTCCTCCCTGGCATTTGGACACGAGCTTCACCTGAAACTCCACCTGACAACATGTGATGACCCAGATCACTGAGACGTTTCTGCTGGACAGCTTCTGACTGTTACCTGCAAGGTGAGCGTGTTGATGAACACGTGACAGTGATCCACATCGTTAGAAAAACACTGTGATGCACTTTGACCACAGAGACTCACTCAGTGTTTCACTGGATCACCTGAAGAGACCGGCTCAGGTGTGTTTGACTTCTGTGGGGAAACAACAAGAAATGCATCAGGTGTTGTGAGGAGATGAGTTATGGATCATTTTGAGAAGCATGAATATCCTCTGAGGAGGAAAACTGTAAATACAACCTCCAATGTACAGAGAGCATTTCTCCACTCAGCATCATGAAAATGGATCTAAAGCTGTGAGACTGATGGATTCACCAGGCAGAAAGACTTTGGTTACAGCGCCCCCATGTGGCAGAGTGGGGCCATATTTTCTCCATGTGTGATGACTGAGGACAGAGTGAAGTCTGATGTGTCTGAGATTTTTCACTCAATGGTAAATGAGGAGATGTCAACAACAACAAGTCAAACAGAACAGCAGTTTGGTCCTCCAGCTTTAACCCTGTGTTCGTAATTTCACTTTTATTATTTATAATTTTATTTTCACTTTTGTCCGGTCGGGCATGACTGATTATAAAACATGAAGTATCAATTACAGCTTTTTAGCCAACTTCTTTCCACCTCATCACCACAGGTTTTACAATTCTTTTTGGTCAGTAGACCTCATTTACATGAGGTCGTGTTACAGCTTGTGTTTGAGTAGAATCAACAGAAATTATGAGTTATTTTGGAAAGCATTGAAGAGGGAGAGAGGGTGTCGAGCAGGAACACGGGGGCAGCAGGTGACCCGCAACCACAGATCCAGACTCCGCAGCTCCAGAGCCAGAAAACCTGCAGGAAGTGATAGGAGGAGAGAGGAGAGGGACGAGAAAGCACAAGACTACGGGAAAGGGGAGAAGAGCACTTTGTTTGTGTTCAATTTACAGACCCAAGGCTGTGTAGGGAAACCGGATTTTTTTTCAGAGCAGACAAAACACTGAGAGCTACCTATTTAACAAAGTAGATTTAACAAAAATTGTATTGGATGAGAATCGCAAAGTATCCCTTTAAGAGGAGCCATTGAAGGGATATGCGATTCTGCAGAGCGTTTGTTGATATTTGAGTCCAACAACCAAACAAACAGTCCCCTCACTACTCCTTCGGAACGCCCCTCCCTAACTAGAGAGTTACTTGAAATAGTTTTTTATAAAAAATACTTTGGGGCTAACCTCCTTCACTCTTTATTTTACAGTTTGCAGCAACACACGGGAGCTACTGAGTCAGTCAAGCCAGCCTCCAAGTGGAGTCCTGAGAAGCTGCAGTCTTGATTCATCCAGCATCTGTAACTTCTACTGTACATTTACTGCTGAACAAGCCTTATTCCTGTACCTTTTCTCTCTATTCACCTGTACACATACACACCTAACCAGCTGGGATCATCACAAACATGACAACAGACAAGACGGTAATACTGAACTTGTCATTTTTTTGTGGAACAGCAAAGCTAACGTTAGCCTACTCACCTGTCCAGCAGAAACAGAGCAACATAAGCATTGATCATCATTCCTTTCTAATCTCATACATTTATCCAGCATTGAAACTCCAGATGTTAACACAGGTCTTCCCCTCACCTGGTCATATAACAGACCTTTCCCTCTTTGGCTGTTTCTCAGTCATCTTCTCAGCTATAGAGTCCCGTAAGAAGTCCAGCATGTTCGAATGTGCTGCTGTTTATTTACATTCTCTGTCCGACTGCTTTGAGAGCACCGCCACCTTTGTTTGTGTTCAATTTACAGACCCAAGGCTGTGTAGGGAAACCGGATTATTTTTCAGAGCACATGAAAAACCAAGCGCTACCAACCCATGAGGAAATATTTGCTGAATTTAACAAAATTGTATTGAACGAGAATCGCAAAGTATCCCTTTAAGAGCTTTGTAGGTGAGACAATTCTGTATTTTACAGGAAGCCAATGAAGTGAAGCTAAAACAGGAGAAATGTGATCTCTTTTCCTGGTTCCTGTCAGAACACGTGCTGCAGCATTCTGGATCAGCTGAAGAGTCTTAATGGACTTTTTCGAGCAGTAATCCAGCCTAGAAAATGAAATGCATGGACTAGTTTTTCTGCATCATTTTTAGACAGGATATTCCTGATTTTCCCAATATTACATAGGTGAAAAAAGGCGGTCCTTGAAATTTGCTTAATGTGAGACTTAAACGACATGTCCTGATCAAAGATAACTCCAAGATTCCTCACAGTGGTGCTGGAGGCCAGGGCGACGCCATCCAGGGAAACTATATCTTTAGATAATGCGTCACAGAGGTGTTTGCGCCCCAGAACAATAACTTCAGTTTTATCTGAGTTTAACATCAGAAAATTACAGGTCATCCAGATTTTAACATCCTGAAGGCACATTTGGAGTTTAGCTAACTGATGAGTTTCATTTGGCTTGATCGATTGATATAACTGAGTATCATCTGCATAACAATGATGATGTGAGTCATGATGTGATAGAGGTGTTTTCTGCGATCCCCTCAAGAGAGCGTGGGGCTCCCTCGTGTGCTTTTTGACCGGCTATAACTTTTCCAATGCTATGTATTTTTAGTAAAAGTGATCATTATACATTTTTCCGTTGGGAGAAAATCTACTATGAATTTTGGAATTGATGATAATCGTTTCTGTCAAATAAATTGCCTACTTTTATTTGGACTTTCAAACTTTTGTAACAATGTGTTATTCTCTGGATGCCCGATGGAGTCCGAAAAAACAAGCAGAGCAGAAGCTGTGTTTAGAATATAACTAGGCTATAACATCTCTAACAGCGTGGATGGCATCAAAAGAGCCGCCGCGTGTCAACGTGCCCTTCACAGATGTGCAGCGCAAGCGATCGACCTGCACAGTGAAGACAATGAACAGAATAAACATTCTGTAAATGATGGAAATGAAACATGGGGATGGTGTTTATAGGAAATGCACAGCCAAGGTGCTGAATGTTTCCCAAAGTGTGTTGGAGCAACATGTAGCAGAAATAATCACAAAATCACTGCATTTTTATAGCGGGTAAATTTTAAATATGGGGGGAGTGGATTAATTTAGTCTAACATATTCTCCATCACCCAGCCAGGTTTCAGAAAGACAAAATAAATCCATTTTATAATCTGACATCAATAATATCTATTAATTTACAGGTACACTTTTAGGCCCCAATCAGACAGAAAGCATTTAGCAGGTTTTAGCAGGCCTTTTCGGTGGACTGCGTTTTTTTATGTTGCCCACCAAATCAGCGGTCCTGACAGTCTAATCAACGATTATAAGTAATAAATGTCATATTAGCATCCAACGAAGGTTAAAGTCAAGGGCAACTGGACATGGTTGAAGTCCAGTTGCCCTTGACATTAACATTCGTTGGATAACTATGACCTGGATGACTGAGAATCTTCATAGATGTCATATTAGCAGAAACTTGATCACAACTCACTGGTCTGTGTCTTTTGTTGCTAAAAACATCTGCTTTAAAAGTTGGAAAATAATTTCCTTGAGTCAGTGGCACTGCTTATTCTGTTATTATAGAACGCAGTTTTGGCAGCACTGATGCTTGTTGAGGATGACAGGAGCAATCGGTAGCCCTTCAGGTCGGCGGGGTCTTTGGTTTTTCACCATTTTCTTTCAGCCGCTCTGAGATCAGTACGGAGCCCACGGATGGTATCAGTTAGCCACGGGTGGGGCTGGTTTGGGCGAGCAGGCTTGGTGGATAGAAGACACAGGCTATCCAGGCACGAGCTTAGTGTAGAGCACAGAGATTGTGCGGCATCATTGACCTCAAGTGAAGAAAATGTGTTGAGGGAGGGTAGAGCTGAAGCTACCACTGAGGCAAAGTGAGCAGGAGACAGGTTGCGGCGAACTAAAATGTAGTAGTATGGATCGGGCCTAAGACTGCGACTCTGCCTCCTGGTCTCATTTCTGGATGGTCGTGGATTTGTTCCACTAACAAACTTGGGCAGATTTCTAGAAATGAGAGCTGCTCCTTCCCAAGCAGGATGAATGCTGTCTCTCTTAATCAGACCAGGTCTTCCCCAGAAAGTCTGCCAATGATCTACAAAGCCCACATCGTTTGCTGGACACCACCTCGACAACCAGCGGCGAAATTATGACATGCGGCTATACATGTCATCACTGGTCAGATTTGGCAGGGGTCTATGTGCTATGTACTCACCAACTCAACATTAACCTTAGTGAACTCCAATTGGCGTAATTGGGTGTCTTTA